ATATATATATATATATATATATATATATATATATATATATTAAATATAATATTATACATATAATTTTTATATAACTTTATTTTATATAAAACTATAATTAAATTGTATAAAATAAATTTATTTTATATAATTTTATATAAAATAAAATTATAAATAAAAATTATATAATATTTCATATAAATTAATTAAATTAAATATAATTATATTAAATTCTAATAAATTATATATCAAAAAAAAAATGTTATTGTTTTATAATACTAATAAAATGGGTATTATTACACACCATATATATGTATAGATATAGATATGGTTTTAACATTGAATTAATTTCTATAATCATATGATTGTTTTATCTTCTTATAAAAATTCGTAATACGTTTTTTATTACCAATACAAATTTACATAAAATTTACATAAATAATGAAACCTGTAATTTACAGATAAAAGAAAAAAACAATTCAATTTCAATTTAATTCAATTTACTATGTGTATACATGTGTGTTCACGAAATAACTTGAACAGTGTAATAAAAAAACTAATTAATTGTACATCAATTTGTAATTTAGTAATATTACACATGTTCCATCATTAATATTATTTTAATTGAAAACACTCGTGTTTTCAGAAAGAAAAAAAAAGAAAAAAAACAAAACAAACAAAACAATTCTATCATAAGTATGAGTGTGTGTTTAATAATAATCTGTGTTTCTTATATTAGTTTTCTAATCATACTTATAAATTTCTATTGACATTTAAACGAGTTCTTTTTTCCGGTGTATAAGTAACAACGTATACGTATAAAGATATTTAAGTGTATGTAGGTCTACAAACGGAGTGAGAGTAGAATATCGTCATCGTTCACCAACAACAATTTCTTCTTCCTACATACATGCGTACACATTTATACATTGAACGATCGTGAAATTCAACATAACGAAGAAACAGTTTCGAAGAAAGCGTCAGTTCGTGCGGAACCATTTCGTGCTAGACGATTCCATTCCCATCAGTGACATTTTTTTCATTTAAAAAATATCTCATTTCATTTAATTAGAATTTTTTTCAACAATTTGTATTATTCGCATATTTAAGTAGTGAATAAACATTAACAATTGTTAATTAATGTTTATAATAATACAACATATTTATGTACAATAGATGTTGTAAAAACATTCATAAACATTGTAAATTTATGTTTGTAGTTTCAGTATTCAGTTTGATTAAGTTTGCAATTGGTTGTGTTGATAAAAGTTGTTAATAGAAATTAAAAAAAAAATGTTCGTAAAATTTGACCTAGTTTTTTACCTTACGATAGTGCTAGTTCAAGGTCGTTCTATAAACTACGATCAATCGAATAAATTGTATTATAATGCGTGTGATTTTGATATTACTCAAAGAAACTACGATTCCATAGATTTATTGAGGTAAGGTTTGATTATATTGTGAGTGCAATTATTTAACATTAGAATTTTTCTATGAATTAATATTAATCATTTGTTTTTTTCTTTTTTTTTTTTATAGATGCATAAAGGACATAGTTTTAACGAGTATAGAAAATAGTGCAATTCATGAAAGATCGAGAAAACATGCATTCTTTGATCGACTTTCTTCAAAAAACTCTCCATTGACAGATTTATTCGTATCCTTGTTCAACAACGGTGAATCAAATATGGTACTTATATAAATTCGAATTTTATTTTTACAACCCACGAAACATTTATCGACTTTCACTTTGACTATAATTTCAAACAAGTTGATATTTTTTGATTTTCAGAATAAAAATACAAAATAATATTAATGAAAATTATAATACTATGTTTTGACATATTATATTGAATTAATTTATTAATTCTGAATTAATTATTAATTATATTTATATTATTAATTATAATTATATTATATATTTTATATATTTTATAATTTATTTTTATATATTTAATTGTTAATATAATTTAATAATAATTATTTTATATTATTTATTAATTAATAATATTATAATTTATTA